AGGTGCGAAATGTTGTAACTCAAAACGCTGTAAGTCAAGGACTGCCTGTAACTATTTTCTGACAAATCCAGAATTAACCAACCTTAAAATACCTTTAGCTTTTGTTTTTGTAATCGTCTCTTCCAAAGTAAAGTTGATATGTTTAGTGACAACATCCTACTTGTGGAATGGAAAAAAACTAGAAGGTCAAGTTTGGCAAAGTTATGTAAACTGTTGAATAAAAACAGTACTCGCTCAGACTTGGTTCCCATTTGGGCTGTCTTTAAATTGGTGATAACATGCTGAAATATTGTGTCTAGGAACTCAGATGCTATTTGCAAGCATTTGTGTGGACTCTAGGCTCCTGTAAATGCCTGATTCCAGCATCCTTCAGCATTGCATTTTATGTAAATAATTAAAAAACGAAATCAGCTTTACTGTACATACTGAAGAGAAACTCTAATAAGTAACTTCACAAACTGATACAACTTTTCAAACTACATTTTAAAAAGTCCATTTAAGTACTATGGGCTATATATATGTTCAAACCTAAAGCTGTCATGAGGTTCTAGCAGTTGTAAATAGCTGCTCTTCAGCTTCACATTGATAAAGACAGACTATGGTACGGCTCACCCTCAAAGGGAACATCTGAAGTTTACTTTACCAGGCACAAATGATGTAAAAACACTCTTGGCAATTACTGCTACCTGAGCATCCAGCAGCAGGTGCAGATCCAGCATGTTCAGAGCCTGTGAGATTAGTGGTATATTTTGGAATCTGCAGTGCTGATATGTCTGCCATTTTTTCTGGTTGTTTCCTCTCTCTTAATATGGTATGACGTAGCCAACTGGCTCTAATCCATTCTGAAATTATTTTTTGACACTAGGAAAATCATTCTGCTTCCACCATCTATTTCAAAAGATACCAGTGCTGTTGCATGTTAAATATGCTTCAGTCCATATAAGCCCTCTAACTCCTATTCCTACTAATGATACACAGGGTGACCATATGGCCAGTTTTTACCAGGACTGTCCACTCCCCACCAACTCCTTGGCATGCTGAACTGAGAATAGGGCTTGGAAACAGCTGAGTTTACAGGAGGAGGCAGGGAGGAAGGCTGTGGGATACCAGAGGTGGTTCTGTTTTGATAATCAGGAAATAAGGCTACCTAATGAAGCATCTTCCTCGAACAGGAATGGTAGAAAAGAACAATGCTCCCCAAGAGCCCACCTTATAACTGACAAGCAATTGTCTGATACTACTAATTATAATCTTTCACAAAAAAGGAAGAGAATTTATTTGAGTGACATCATCCAATGCTGCTGGAATCTCCTACCATATCAGCAATACTTAATGAAAAAAAGACCAGAGAGAATCCACACAATCTCTCTAGAAGACTCAGAACTAAACCAAGAAATACAGAGGACTCCAGATAGGGATAAAAATGTTCTACTAAAACATGTTACAGTAATCCCCAAAATACTAGTAATAGTTAGAAAAATAGCACAATCAAAGGGTAATTTATCAAAAAAGTGTGACAAGTGCTTCTTTAATAAAGATCACATCTTGCTATTAATGCCTTCACTGATCCCCTTCGCACAGAAACTATTACTAATTCTAAATGTCTTACAGTTGTGTATCCCACATTTGAAAAAAGAAAATGTACCAGGGAGAGTGCTGCGACAAAAACAAAGCCAGAAGCCTGTGTGTTTTCCTCTATAACTGGAAGCTAAGTTGTTATTTTTATGTGTTCTTAGTTTTTCAAGTGAAATTTGTTTTCCTGAAGTTACAGTTACTGTTCCACTTTTTGATACCTCATGGTAGGACCCCTCCCCTCCCACTGGAAATTTCTTTCTGTGGAACACCCATCACTGGAATAGTGGCCAAAGGTATGATGGAGAGAAACTCCATTGATGATTTTCTTCTTGGACCCTCCAGTCACAGCAACCCATCACTTGCCTACATGACATTCATCTATGAAGTTATTTCATGTTCCAGTCCTTGGGTAGTGTAAAGCAATATCTTGGGAAAGTTTACTCTAATATTTTACTGTTGTTAATCACAGTCCCTGGACTGTTCCACCTCTGTGGGGACTCTCTCAGGAAGGGGAGCCAAATTTCCATCCTGAGATTTACAGGTCTAGTTCTTCCTCATGAACTGAATAGCAGAACAAACTCCATAATTTAAAATAGACTGGTTGGACATCACGGAGAAAATGATTTCTCAAAAGACTAAAATGAACATTTCAGCTCTGTTGCTGTATCAGTATTACAAAACTCATGGAAAATTGGGTAGTAGATTAGGCAATGCTATTGGATTAGCTCTTTTGTGAGAGTATCTGAGTCACTGAGTAGGGTTGTTGAAAAGAAATCAGGTTGACTGTCTCCAAACATAACTTGCTTATTTCATTTGCACTAAATAGAAAAGTGTTGACCTAAATGTGATGTAATCGGAGCAGGTAAAGACATTACTTTTTCAGTTTTTCTTTCACCCAGCACAAACTCATTAGTATTCATAATTAAATAAATGTAGAAAACTATCAAAGAAACACCAACGATTTATCTTGTACCAACTCTTAAGTCCTAAAATCTGTCTATTTTAAACATACTGTATTCCCATATATTCAGAGCCTTTATTAAATCATGCTATATCTCTTCAAAATGCTTCCTCTGTCATCAATAGAAATCCCAGGCAGATTAAGGTAGCATGAAAATCCAGAGCAATTTTGTTAAAACTGAATATCACACTTGGGGAGCAAGGCTAAGTTTCTGGATATTGTTTGGGAAGTTTTTATGTTTATATCTTACTTTTAATACTCTACCTGCTTTCATAAGTCTATGTCCCTGCACCCCCCTACCCCAACCTTATGCTAACATTTACTACAAGTTGCTACTTGTTGGGAAGGCAGCATACAAATCTAATACATAAATAACTGTCCTTACCTCAAAATTTGTGTGTTCCACTTGTATTTGAAAGTATGAAAACCTTTATTTACTGATAGATTAGTGAATGTCTCTATATCTGATAAAAATGGAAAATGCCTAGGTAGGGAACTAGTCCATTTTCACTGTACCTCTAAATAGAACACTACTTTTACAGACAATGGAAGAGAAAACTAGGATAAGAAGAACTAGCCAATTCCTCAGTAATTCCTCTTTCCAGTAGGCCCCCCTACTGTCTTACTGGCAACTGTGAGTTATAAATAAGCCTTTTACAGCATAGGCTATGTTATGTTTACCATCTGTCTCCTTTTTGTGATCAACTCACAGAGAAGATTCCTTTCTATTAGGAAACCATATTTTGAAACTTGGAAACTTATTACTTGTGGCCAAGGTTCTGAAGGGAGGAAAAGCCAGCTCCCCATGCTAAAAGAATTAAATAAAAGCAGAGTTTAATAAAGCTGAGGGGAGGACAAAGGAAAGGAACAGTATCCCATCCTGCTCACTGCTCATCACTTGAGTTCTGCTTATGTTCAGATCATAACTTTATTGAAAACTGCAGCTTTTAAAATAAAAGACGAATGCCTGGTTTGAAATTAATGAAAGGACTGCGGGGTTTGGGTATAACTTCACCTAGCTGAAATTGTCCTGGCTCAACCTAGGTTAATGAGGGGAGATCAGAGGAGCTACAGCAATTTACACCAGCTGAGCATCTGCCCACTAATCCATACACATCTTTTTAATGACTAAATGCAGTCTCACATTTTTGCTGATTTCAGATCAGGAGAGAAACTGTTCCTCCCCCAAATTTACGTGAAATGACTGAGCTAGTGACAGAAATATCTATCAGTAAGTGGCACGGAGGATCCCACTGAAGAGACATGATGCCCATATTCTCTTTTTTCCTCTAGCTCAAAGGTAAATGTGTACGTAGTTCTACATTATAGCCAAAGTCTTTATACTGTAGTAGAATAAACTTGGCAACTATTATAATGGTGACTTAGACTATTTTGATGATACTCTATAATAATAATCTACATTAAGAGATTCTTAACAAGGACATTACCGTATTGTTTTAGCACTGTGCCCAAAACTAAGATAACATCTTCTGCATGAAAAAGTAGCCTCTTCTCACACATCATCTGCCTTTCTCATGGGATCAATCCTAAAGGCCATAGTGCAGGAGAAACAATGAGGGGAGATAGGGCTAATGTTGTCTTACTTGTGGAAGGTCCCCTTCTACTAATTCTGCCAAGACTTCATGTACAAAGACACTGGCCAATCTTAATTTAGGGTGATATCAAAATATGAACCAATGTCTCTTTAAATGAAAAAGCCGTACTAAACCACAACTTCCTACGCTATTTCAGCAGCAGAATAGAGAGAAGCTGATGTGACCTAAGAGGTACCTTGACTCGTGCCAGCTAAATCTTGTTAAGATAAAGGTTGCAACTCTGTAATGCAGAACTGGAGAGACTAGGGATCTGTCTGTCCTTACTGAAAGGTGGAACACTTCATTCCTGCAACTTCAATATAAAGCTTATGGTCAACTCCAAATAGAATACACTGTATCAGACCAGAAGTGATAAATACATAGGGCATATTGGTTATGTCTGCATCTGAAAGGAAAGGATAAAGTGTCCTGGCTGTATGAAGATAAAGAGCATTTCAGGCTATTACTTCTGTTGGATTGTTCAGGAGCAGTGTTGGTGCCAACAGAAATCAGCAACTGCATAACACCTTGATCGCACTGACAGTGGACTTACTCCTCAATACAACACAAGGTCATAGCTCCAACTACTTCTTGAAATGCTTTCCTCTGCATGCCATCATCACCTCATTATCAGATTGTTTGACCTAGTTTTTTTCACATAGGTTCCAGCTTGCTTCAGACATTAGAACAGCTGGAAAATGGCACCGTCTCTTGAGAGCTTCAAAGCCGAGTGTTGCAATACTGCGTAGACCAGTGTGTCTGCTTTCTTCTATTTAAGAACATAAAACCCCCTTTACAAAGTCTTCCAAAAACTGCTATTAGAGAAAATATTTCTTAGACAGATATTATTCAAAACATGCTTAACACACAGTTCTATCTCGGTGTATACTTCCAGCGTACAGATTGTTCCAAGAGTTAATAAACTGGTTAAGACCACGGCTACTTTATTATCAACACCACCTTGATATTCATGTGTGGAAAGTGTCATGTGATATGCTATATCCTCTTCTGACCATAACTGTCTGCAATATGTAACCTGGAAATATATTTGGATTAGGGGGAAGTCAAGAAAAAATGCAAGTGCTCAGCACCTCCTGCCTTTCAATTTTTGTTCCCACAACTCTCTTTTATGAAGTGGCTTAAAAGAAAGTATGGATTTGATGTAGTCTTCTATTTTGATCCATACACCAACTACTCTGTGATTTATACATGGAGCAAATCCATACTTTTGTAAAGTTACTTTACAAAGCAGAGTTGTAGGTACAGAAACACAAGCACTCAGCACCTCCTGCCTTTGAATTCTTGACTTGTAATCTTTAGTTCTGATTATCAGCTGCTCTGATTTTTCCCATAGCTACATTTTCCGAAGTGGAACTAGAAGTTTTGCCAATATTTTGCAAATATTAGGCCACAAACTAGAACATGCCAATATTTTGCAAATCTCGAAGACAAAGTCAAAGGATTGATCCTTTTTTCCAAATGATTTCTCACATTCAGTGAGTAAGATTTTTTCCCTCTGCACTACATGAAATGCCAGCACAAAATCTATCTGGAAACAGGCTTCCTGAAACACAACATTCAACTTCAAGTAAAAATATGCAAATGCATTGGGACAATGAACACGCCAGAAATTAGCGCGGGGTACAAACCACTCTTACACAGCCCATTACTGGATTACTGTTCAAAGCCAAAGGGCCAAAAGCAATATTTTAATTTAAAATACATCATCTATCCAATATCAAAGGTTACCATTTAGAAACTATTAATAGCAGCCTCCAGTGGAGAACTGAGAGCCAGGAGTTGATTTCCCCACCTCTCCCCCCACCCGCCACCTTTAGAAACGGGGGTTCGGAAAAGGTTTTCACACTCTTCTGTTGGTGCCAGCAAACACCTCAGCCGCCTAAATCATTTTCGTCCCATTCATAATTTTTCTTGGGCAGCTGTTACCACCAACTAAAAGCAGGGACACGTGCTTGAATTAAAAGTAAAACAAGCCACCACAGCCCATCCTGAACGCAATGAATTAAAACTCCTACCTGGAGTTTCTTGTTCTTCTAGGAGACCCCTCAACCCCACACCCCGGGCAGCGGAGCCAGGCAAGGTTCCGCTCCGCTCCGCGCAGCCGAGGCAGAGCAGAGCCGCGCCGCCCCCGCGACACAACCCCGCCGGCAGCTCCTCTCACCTTCCGCGGGGGGCGGCCTCGCCCAGCCGGGGTGCCCCCGCGCGCCGCGCCGCGCTCCT